AGTCTGAGAAGCAAAGTCTGGAGAGTAGGGTGGATGTGCAATGGGATGCCAAACGAGCTCAATCAATTTTTTACCAGTCGCCGAATCGACATGAGGCCGAGCGCTGTCATGGAGAAGGTGGACGATACAATAGTTTACCGAGGTTATTCGCACGAAACTGCGCTTTGCAATGATACTTCGATACTCGGATCTCTTTGACAGCCACGTCCACCTGCAACCATACCGCTTGGAGCAGGATGGATATGTCGTTCCTGCAGTTCTCTCTTCCGAAGTCCGACACGCCATCTCGTCGGTGAAGAATCGTACGGCACCCGGTCCCGACAGGATCAGACCCGAACATCTGAAGAATCTTCCGCCAGTTCTCGTCAAAACTCTGGCTCGACTCTTCACGCGCTACCTGTCGGAATGCAAGGTACCTCGTGGAAAACCAGCAAGACTGTGTTGCTGTACAAGAAGGGAGACCTGTACGACATTGGCAATTATCGCCCAATCTGCCTGCTGTCTGTAGTCTACAAACTCTTCACACGAGTCATCCTGAACAGGATTGGCAGAACACTAGACGAAGGACAGCCATGCGAGCAAGCAGGGTTTCGAAGAGGATTCAGCACGATCGATCACATCCACACGGTTCAGCAGGCTGACGAAGGCTCAATTGAACGTATCGCGAGAGTACAAGATGCCTTGTCTTCTCACGTTTATCGACCTAAAGCCTTCGACTCCGTTGAGACAGAAGCGGTTATCGAAGCCCTGGGCAACCAGGGTATTCCTACTCAGTACATCAGGATTCTTCGTGAGCTCTACAGCAACTTCACGACCAAGATTTCACCATTCTACAAGGAGATCATCATTGATGTGAAGAGAGGGGTCCGACAGGGCGACACCATCTCGCCCAAGCTCTTCAGCGCCTCTCTCGAGAACGTCATGCGTCAACTGGAATGGGAAGACATGGGAGTGAAGATCGACGGTCGGCAACTACACCATCTCCGCTTTGCTGACGACATCGTTTTGATAACGCCAAACATCGAGCAAGCGGAACGAATGCTGGCTGAATTCGACTGCGCGTGTGGAAGAATCGGTCTACGGCTGAACCTAACGAAGACGATGTTCATGAGAAACGGATTGGTATCTGATGCCCCATTCACGCTCAACGGAACGACCATCTCTGAATGCTCTAGCTATGTGTACCTAGGTCGTGAAATCAATATGATGAATGACCTAGCTCCAGAGCTGAGCAGGAGGAAGCGAGCGGCTTGGGGAGCCTTCAAGAACATCGAGGGAGTAGCGAAGAAGACGAAGAACACCAAGCTCCGTGCCCACCTCTTCCTCTTCGATTCCGCGGTCCTTCCTGCCTTGACGTACGCCTTCACCAAGCGGAAGGAATGGTCTAGGCCTGCGAAGTGGCCATTTGAAATGAAATGTATACCGGCTGAAAGGTCTTCGGACGGGAATTACGAAACCGTCTTCCATATCTGCTGCGGACCTCCCAGAAAGAAGTTACGGAGCTTTCTAGGGGGAGTATCCACGTACATATTCGACGGCGTAAGGCTGAAGAGATCGTGGCAGCAATGGCCTACGCATCTCTCAGCCCTTACGCCGTCAATATTGTTGCAATACTCCCGCTATGAACATATGTATGGGAAAGATATGAAATAGATGTAGTGGGTAGCGTCGTAGGGCCCACGCGAATGCGCGTCAAGGGTGTTTGAATGCCTGTGATGCGCGTGCTCTTTTGCATTTTTTCGAAAGTGGTCCCTGTGCACTTCAAAGCTATTTTGCATAACACTTCTCCGTGATAATGTCGTGACGTAATGATTCTGAAACTGATGGAGCCACTGCGAACCATTCCATAGAGATCACCTTCTGGGCACCATTGAACTGTTCCTGCCCCAGAAACTCAAAAATTTTTTTCGCTGAAGCGTTGCCTAGAGATGTAATTCAACACGCTGATCGCGAATATAACATCCGTTTCAACCGCTGGCGTCATTTGGCGCCATTATGCGCCAATTTGGCGCCCACCTCTTTTTTCACCAAAGTCGACGAAAACTTGCATATGGGGGTTAATTGAGTTCCTGATTACGAATCCAGCATTTATTTTTGGCGCTGGCGCCATTTGGTGCCACTACGCGCCAATTCAGCGCTATATTGGCGCATAATGGCGCCAGCGCTTGAAACCAGTGTGATATTCGTAATCAGGACCTCAATTGACCCCCATAAGCAAGTTTTCATCAACTTTGGTGGAAAAAGTGGTGGGCGCCAAATTGGCGCATAATGGCGCCAAATGACGCCAGCGGTTGAAAAGGATGTTATATTCGTGATCAGCGCATTGAATTACATCTATAAGGCAACGTTCCAGCGAAAATTTTTTTTTAGTTTTTTTGGGGTAGGGTAGGGTAGCTCAATAGCGTCGCACTTTCTGGCTGTTGTCTTCTTCTCTCTTTGATTTTGAAAAGCATACACAACAAAAGTGCATTCCAAAAGGAGATTTTGCTTTCAAATGACTTTATTCTCCAAACGACATGACTGGAAAACGAATCCGAACGCACGACGCTGTGCACGAAGATGAGTATAACGGGGAAAATACTTCCATATGAAGTGGCGTTGATGTGACAATCATGCTGCTGGAGATCGCGATGGGCAAGAGCTTCATTCACCACTCACATAATGTTGAATTATGCCTATCTCAAAGTGTTTTCGTACTGCCGGCTCGTATGACAATCTTTTCAGCCGGAGGTGATCTCCATGAAATCGTTCGCAATGGCTCCATCAGTTCAGAATCATTACGTCACGACATTATCAGGGACAAGTGTTATGCAAAATAGCTTTGAAGTGCACAGGGACCACTTTCGAAACAATGCAAAAAAGCACACGCATCAAGGATTCAAACCCTCGACCACGCATCCGTGAGCCCTACGACGTACCCACTCGGCCATGCTGCCACGATCTCGTCAGCCTTACGCCGCCAATTTGTAGTGATACTCCCCCAAAAAAGCTCCGTAACTTCTTTCTGGGAGGTCCGCAGCAGATATGGAAGACGGTTTCGTAATTCCCGTCCGAAGACCTTTCAGCCGGTATACATTTCATTTCAAATGGCCACTTCGACCTACCCGCGGTCCTTCCTGCCTTGCCTACGCCTCAGAGACTTGGACTCTACGAAAGCAGGATGAGCATGCGGTCGGTGTTATTCAACGCGCCATCGAAAGGGCGATGCTCGGAGTTTCCCGCTACACGCAAGTGAGAGAGGGAATCCGGAGCTCCGCACTCCGCCAACGATCGAAGGATGGATACGAGTACCAGGGCGGAAGATACCCAAGATGTTCCTCGATAAGCAGGAGCTGGCCTCGCCCATCACCTTCATGTACACCAAAATATGAAGTCATCTCCAGTCGCAGCCTGACTGGAGAAGACCTTTGGAATTCATGTCACCTCCAAACAGCTGCGAAACTTCTAGTGTGGAGTCACCCATGGGTACCTGGAGACCAGTACTCTCAATCTGGAAGACCTCCAACATCGAGCAGCTCCGACAACGTCGCTACGGTCTAGGACATCATCTTCACGGCAGTCGCCAAGGCGCGGGTTGATGGTATGGACCGGACGCACCTGGAATGGAAAGACCAATATTTTCTTCGTGGACCCCGGGCTGAAGCTGAGCGCTGGCGGTTACATCGACCAACTCAAGAAGAATATCTTCCCACATGTCGTCGCCCGTACCTGGAAACTTTGTACTGCTACAGCATTGGGTGCCACCACGTGGAATCGAAGGGCGTTGGAGAAACTCTCGCCTACTTGGAATGGAAGGGGGCTGAGTACCTAAAGAAGATGGAATATCCAAGTAGGTCACCTGACCTGAATCCCCTCAATTACCCGGTTCGGGCGGAGTTCAATAGGGTGGTCTACGGTGGCGGAGAAATCGACTATCTCGCTGATCTCAGGGACCACATCGCGGTTGCGTGCCAGAATCTCTCGATGGCGCTCCTCCAGAAGGCTGTGGCGGAGTGTCATAATAGTATTTAATATGCTCTTTAATATGGTGGTAGAAATGTCCGATCAGAATTTATAAAGTGTAACTTATAGCGCCTCGAAAGTCAATGAAGCAAAGTGACTTTTTTTTTTGCCCCCCCCTGTATATATAGGCAGTGGGTCATCGCCATCGTGGCAATGACATGAGGCGTAGGTGGACGACTGACGTGTTGGGGGTGGTTCAGTGGTTTATAATAACAAGGCGAGAACAATGTAAATGTAATAAGCTGTTTGTTAACGGCGAACCCACGTACTGTTGTTGAGGACGAATCGAGGATGAATGATACCCCTACCTGGCTTGACCCCGCGTCAGGTAGGGGGCGGACTCTATGAGGGTTCGTCGTCTCAGACTGTGAGACGACGATGAGGGTTGGGATCGTCGTCAGAGACGACGATATGACGCAACATCTTACAGTTAGGGCTCTATTTAACGGAGGAGTCATATAAACTGGGTCAGTGAAGTCGTACCGATGATTACCAGCATTTCATCATAAGGTAAAGGATGGTTGAGACCATTACTGGAAAAGCAGCAACAAGAAATTATGCTCCCGTTCAGCACAGTGAGCCAACAAATGTTTGTAATTAAATATTGCCGCGCAGTCTCTGGCCTCTCCCGTCGTCCCTCGATGTCTCGCATTTCTGTCGATGCACCCGCGTCGCGGCTGCGTCGCGGTTCATGAAAAGCGTTCGCTGTGAGGCGTTGTGCCGCGCACCTCTTCGCAATTTAGACTGGGACTCTTTCTCTTCGGATTCTTTTCAGTCTTTTGTAGAAGTTGACTTTTATTACATCGGTGCACATTTTATAGATTGCATTTATTGGAAAAACCTTGCTTTTTCCCGCAGATGTACAGTGGTATTGGTGCTGATTTTTTAATGAAATCTTGTTCAGTTCCTACTTTTTTTCTTCATGAAATTGCGTTGTTCAAGCGTATTCTAATGTACATTGGTTGAGTAATGAATGTGTTTCCCTGCCTAAAATTAATATGCTTTCAGAACAGGGTCACCATCGTAAACCAGCGACCAGAATGAGGAAAGGGTAGGTTCTCATTGAAGATTGTTGGATTTTTATCAGAGATATTCCCTTTTCACCCACACTGTGACTCAGAAAGATTTTTGCTGTTTAAGTGGTACGAAGCGTAAGCGCGATGATGACGACGGTGATGTTTCTATGCAAGGTGATGATGACGATAGTAGAAGTGGTGTTGCCGTGAAGGTTGAACCTCCTAAAGGTGGGTGTGTTCCTCTTCTCTTTATGAAGAACGAGTTCTGTTAAGAATAAATCTAGAGTCTGTTCCTTTTCATGGTGCTTATATTCACCTTTGTGTACTTTCTATATCTATATGTGCTAATTTATAATATTATGGGTACTTTTGTTAAATTATTGTTACCGTGAGACAGCTGCAATAAGAAGGACAGCGAAATCAAAATAATCATGTGGCGCTAGTCCAATATAGACTTAGCATTTTTTTAAATTTATGCCTTGGATGATTCCTAGTGCTGGAGAATGAGAATTTCTAGCTATGTCTACGGGAAATAGCTAAGTGAACTAATTTATTTAGCAAATAAATTAGTTCACTTAGCTATTTCCCGTAGACATAGCTAGAAATTTTATTGTACGTGGGCCAGTCGCCAATCAGTGGACTTGAAGAGGAGATTTATCAAGCACCGTCAACGATACTCCTTAGGGTACGATAAGATGGCAAGTGAGGACGAGGTTCGAATGTTCGGGAGTGGAGGGTAAAAAAACTGAATAGTGCCGGGTATCGCCCTGCACAACAAGCCCATCATTGCACGCGGGCGGGAGAGGCCAGGGCAGCCAGGGCACCTAGCTCTAGAGAGAAATCGCATAGTGCTTATGGTCAGGGCTAGCATTCGAGTGAATTCAAATGGATATTTATCAAATGAACATATCAGACCGATAATTTTGTGAGCATGCATGAGGCAGGCATAAAGATAAAGGATAAAGTTTATTCCGTTGATTAATCCCTTTTTGGAACGCGGCATGCGTTCTACTTCATTCAGAATCGAAGTAGCTTACTGAACGTATGTGGTCTGAATTGCGGGGGCTAGCCGATGTACAGGTCATGTTCTTGTTCTCCCAGACAAGTTCCAATTTGCCGTTCCCGGAGAGTAGAAGACTTGGTTGGCCTGGGCGGAAAGTCGACCCGGGATTTGAACCTAGGACCGCGCGAGTGGTGAGCGCGCCACTTGTCACTACATTACCTCCGCATCAGGCATGAAGACTCCCTTAAAAATGGGGTGCTCCAAAAAAGTGTTTACCCTCGATGGAGCTCCTCTTCCCACTTGCTTAGGCGTGGGATATCCATACAAGAAGCGTATTGCTCCGAATGTCTATATGGACCACCGCTAGTCACATAATGTGTAGGGTTTTTCTCTGTTGATGTTCCTTTCGATTTTTTATTGATTTTCTGATGTTTCTTTCTTCTATTACTTCCAATTACTGGTTCTTTATTTCCAGGCCGTGAGAAAGACCCTGAGTTTTCGGCTCCTAAAGGACAGAAACTCGTTGATCTCGATGACGAATCTCATCACAGTGCCGGAAAAGTAGGCATTTAGTTAACTCATCTGAAGACATTTTGTTGTGTAATTGTAGATATAGAAAGTGTTATTTGACTTTTTCCTATTTGCTTTCGTCTTCATGTGTTCATTTAAAGGAAAGCGAAGGGAACGTCATCGAACAAACACACTATATTGTCGTACCTTCATACGCAGCGTGGTTTGATTACAACGCTGTTCACCAAATCGAGAAACGAGCGGTGCCAGAGTTTTTCAATGGTCGCAACAAAAGCAAAACTCCGGAAGTGTACGTGGAGTTGAGGAATAAGAGTGTTTATGTGTCGCTGATATTCTGTTTTAGGTATCTCTCATATCGTAACTTTATGGTCGATACGTATCGGCTGAATCCTTTTGAATACCTCTCAGCGACAGCTTGTCGAAGAAATCTTGCCGGAGACGTGTGTTCTATTGTGAGGTATGCGCCCTTGTTAATCTCATCTATGAAATATTTTTCTGGCTTCACTTCAGTACACTGTGGAATTTCGTTGTAGAAAGCACCCACTGTCTAGAAAACTATTGCAATTTTTTTTTTTATTTCAGAGCGAATCAGGAAAAGCTCTTTGCTCAGGCCTGGCAGGGAGAATCTCCGAGCTGAATGAAAAGGAATGTGTGAAGTAACGAAGGCTAGCGCCTGCTTTCCACCAGGCGCTAACCGTCGTTACTTCACATCTTCCGCTACAAAATGTCGTCCAATATTCAGAGTTAAAGAATGCTCTTAAAAAGGTCCTTGTCTAGAATTTGGGGGAGAGAAGGAGAGTGGGTGGCGCTGAAATAGGGAGTGGGGGCAGGTGCTCCAAGTGATGGCGACACTATTGGTCAATGCTCCTTTGAATGTGGTCCTGGAGGAAGATGGGGATGACCAGCTCGGTGAGAAGAGGATCGCAGATAACTCTAGTTTCCGGAGTCGCCATTTTATTGAACCGTGGCCCCCTTTAACTACGTCATCGCTTTGTGGGTTGCCGTAATCTACGACTAAGTTGCTCAGGGTGTCTCGGTATACGGGTTATCACGTCTTTTTATGCTCTTGAGCTGCAGTTCTTCTTCCTTTGATTTCTCCACCCATTAATCGCTGTGCCCAGCAACGTTTTTCATCCGGTGTTGTGGAAACTGTAGTAAACGAAAATTATTTTTCCAGAGTGCACTCGTTTTTGGAGCAGTGGGGCTTGATAAACTACCAAGTTGATTCCGATGCTCGTCCAGCTCCGATCGCTCCTCCGGCTACAAGCCATTTCATGGTGCTGGCTGATACCCCAACAGGCGTTCAGCCCATTTGTCCTGTTGTGTCAAACGTTGTGGTTAGTGTGTTTCTTGTTTCGAGTTTAGTAATTTGGCATTGTTTTACTGTTGTTGAATCCTTAAATTTAGACCGAGAAGAAGGAAGCTGATGATAGCGAGAAAACACCGATTGAAAAGTTGTCCAGTGTGGGGCTCAAGACGGATCAGTACCAGAAACAGCTAGCAGCAATGAAGGTCCTGTCTATGCAGCATCTCACTTATGGTTGCTTATATATTTATGCCGATATTTTAGACGAAAGGAGCTGCACCAGGACGAGATTGGACGGATCAAGAGACACTTCTGCTGTTGGAAGGGCTGGAAATGTTCAAGGATGACTGGAATAAGGTAGTTCTCTTTCTGTGCTATTCAAGAAAACGCTATAAATGACTATTTTTCGGTTAAATTTGAGTGACTGTGGTCAGTGGACAGTTTTCAAGAAAATGAATGGAAATCATGTGCTGAAAAAAAGGCGCCGTTTTCAGGTTTCCGACCATGTAGGGTCGCGTACCCAAGACGAATGTATTCTGCGTTTCCTACAGCTGCCTATACAAGATCCTTATTTGGGTTCTGATGATGCACATGGTCCCGGAAGCGGAGATTCAATTTTGGGTCAGTCAAAGAGATCCTTTCCAGTTCATAATATTCTTTATCAAATACTAAACTGTTATCGAAGCCTCACTCAACTGTTGTACACATAAGGAGGCAGCCTGCAGCATAGAAGAACTAAAGGCTTGAGAATATCACAAGTTCTTGCAGTTTTTCTTCGAAATGTTCCGGTGCACAGAGCTTCCTTGCTAGTGTGGTTTTCCCATGTGTTACGAAGTAGCTGATCTTATTGAACCAACGCCTCTGAGGAATACTAACCCGGGCAGGGACTCTTTCTTTACGGCGAAATACCCTTAGGGTGACTTTTTTCGTAGCAGCACCTGCACCAAGGTCTCTGAGGAAGGTGCTAAGCATCCCAATTCTTCCAAGAACGAATCGAGAATTTTTCGCCATATTTGAAATTTTGGGGTTCTTTTGCAGAAGCTCTACAGAGACTTCTGTTGTGGTCAATTCCCACTTAATATTGTTCCTTGGACATGTTGAATCTCGATATAATCAGTTGTTATTTAAGGACCTCTGGCTTACCAGCCGTTGCCATTCTCACAGTCTGGAAATCCAGTGATGTCCACAGTTGCATTCCTTGCCTCAGTGGTGGACCCGAAAGTTGCCCAGGCAGCCACAAAAGCTGCAATAGAGGAGTTTTCGAAAATCAAGGACGAGGTGATCAGTTACCTTAGTTAGTTTCTTGCTTATATCTGTTCAGCATGCGATTCAGGTGCCAGCTCTGGTGTTGGAAGCGCACGCGAAAAATGTACAGGCCCATGAAGAGAAAACTGGTGTACTTGATGGAACTGTCGGTCTCGCCAAATCAGGAATCGCCACGGATGAGAAGAAAGAAAAGGAAGGCGACGAAAAAATGGAGACTGATGAGGCCAGCAAACACGCTGAGGAAGCGACCGCGGAGCGAAATGCTAAAGCTGCTGTGAGTGAAAGTGTCCAAGCTGCCGCTGGAGCTGCTCTTGCTGCTGCAGCCGTTAAAGCCAAGGTGTGTTATTTTTGCATATTCTCTAGTGTTCAGGTCATTCTTTGGAGTGTAGTATGGTTGCAAACGCCGGCGTAGCACAATTAGGCGACCTACTCGTTAAAAATCTCCTCATACCGTGTAACGGGGTAGTTCGGCCACGAGGGCATTCTGCTGAATTAGCAAGAATTGACGAGTTCTACCATGGTGGCATGACGAGCTTGCTCCAGCTTCACAAGAGTTCACAGGTTTCACCAGAGTGAGACTTGTAAACCGGAACTAGTGAAGCAGCGAAAGTGCAAAATGCCCCCCCCCCCCTCCCTCCGCCGCCGAACTGCGCCGCGTGTGGCACGTGGTCTGCTCATCTTTACACCTGCGCTGCGGTTTGTATTGTAGGACTCCACCTTTCTAGGATTACTGGTATTTTCAGCATCTCGCTACAATTGAAGAGAGGCGCATCAAGTCGCTTGTTGCTCAACTTGTAGAAACGCAAATGAAGAAGTTGGAAATGAAGTTGCGTCACTTTGATGAATTGGAGCAGATCATGGATAAAGAGCGGGAAGCCGTACGTTCTTCCCCATATCACCTTTACTTCAAATAAGTTCCAAAGTAAAATTGTTTGTTTAAGCTTGAATACCAGCGGCAGCAGCTCATTCTCGAACGGCAAGCATTCCATATGGATCAATTGAGATATCTTGAACAGCGTGCTAAGCATGAGGCACACAGTAAAATGGTCGCTGCTGGCCAGGTAAGTGGTTTTCACAGATTTTGTGCCGAGAGTCTCGTGCCAGTTTCCTTCTATTTACAGCTGCCACCTTCTTTGCCGCCTGGATTTGAAGTGAGTGGACCACCACAACCCACCCCACAAGTGCAGGTTGCAATCCCGCCTGCACAAGAACAAGGTGATTTTTTAATTCTTCCCTTTCTTATACCTTGATTTACCTTGATAGCTACTGAGTCTGAAAAGGCAAGTGTTGCCCAAACGGTGATAGGTGAACGGATGATACTTTGACAGGAAAGTCAAAAATCAATTTTAGCTCCAGCTCCTGAGAAAACGGAACCTCCACCTGAAACCACTGCAGCAGCGGCAGTAGCTGCCCGGGCGCCAACGCCTGGCCAACCTCCAGTTGTTCAGCAGCCACCTGCACAGGCTCCAGCTCCTCCACCAGCTCAACCACCACCCACTCAAGCATATCCTCCTGCTCCTCCTGCAACACAACAACCCAGCTATCCACCACCTCAAGTATATCCTCCACAAGGTTATCCTCAGCAGCCTCAGGCACAAAGTGCCTATCAAGGATATCCTCCACAACAAGGTTGGTATTGTGATGGGTTCGTACACAGATGTTTCTGAGCTTCCTTTATAACAGGTCACCCTGGATATCCACCACAACAAAGTGCTGCACCTGGTTATTACGGTCAGCCGCGTCCAGGTGCGTATCCACCACAACCACAACCAGGTGGGTATCCTCCTCAACAGCGTCCACCATATCAAGGACAACCTCCTACTGGTTATGCTGCTCAGCCGCCACCACAACGACCAGGTGGCTATCCTGGCTATCCTCCACAGGGTATGTTTTCAGACTGTTGTTAGGTAGCGGAACAATATGCATCCAGTTGAAAAAATTAATTAAGGACATCCTGGCTATCCTCCCCAGCAGTACGCGCCGCCTCCCGCTGGATATCCGCCACAAGCGGCTCAGCCTCCACCGTTGGACATGAGTGATGCTGCAACTCCACCTATGCATCAAGGCAAGTTCTTGGTTTGTTAGAATAGGAGTAAGCATACGTAATTATGTGACTGTTAGCGATATAAGTGCTTCAAGGGGCACACTGCTACTAACTGACGAGTAAATCCTTTCTGTACACAAGGTAGGCAGTGCGCAGCAGCAGAGGTGTACCGGTTTTCTTTCTTGAAAGGGTGAATCAAAGAAACGGAGGCTTGTGATACTTGGTGTTCCTTATGTTTTCGACCGTCATTCTATTCGCCATACGGCTGCGGCGTTGGGGTTTGATTACGATCGATGAGGAATCCTTTAAGGTGATTTCGGTCCCTGCATCTGGCATCCGTTCGAAAAAAAGCCTCACCGACATTTATCAAGTCCACCAAACACAATTGAAGAGCGCAGGCGAGCAGCGCTGATGATGCGGTCAGAGTGCGTTCCTACTTTGCGATAGCGACCACCAGCGTTTCGAGTGTCCGTCAGCGCCTGCGCCTAGGAAAATAGATGTCGATAAATAGATGTGTAGAAGAACGGTAGTTATAGTTATAGTTTACCAGTTACAACAGCGTCCATGAGCGGCTAAGAAAGTATGGATATCGGTCTAGCGAATGCCAGCGTCTAGAAGTGGGGAGTAGAAGGGTAGCGGACAGCTGATAGGCTATGGGGAAGTAGGAGGGAGCAGACAGCTGGATTGAGCGCCGCGAAATTGCGGCATGTGCAACCGGACCGTACTGTTACGCAATACCGTACACTACGTTGCATAGTTCTGTGCTTTGGTAGTTGTACGGTGCCGCAATGTCAGGACGCCTAAACCAGCCGTTTGCTTCCTCCACTTCGTACTCCATCAGCAGTCTGCTAACCTCCTACCTCCTCGCACCCTTCCTGACGCTGGTGAACACTGCCGTTCGTTCCATATCTATACCTTCCTAGTCGCTGACGCCAACGAACGCTCGAAATGCTGTGTTTATTGGTGGACACTGTCGAAAAGTGTGAACGCAGCCTCAGTTCCCCCGAACTATCTTGGACTGCGCAGGCGAGCAGTGCCAATGGTTCGGGAATATGGATTATTTAACGATGAGCGAAGACATAAAAACCAAACTTCCACAAGCCTTCAGCCTCGTTACGCACACTTCCAAGGCTGTACAGTTCTGAAGACTACGGGCCTGCCTTCTTTGTTCGCCGTCAAAATATACCTAAATACCTCTAAGATATGGTAGTCTTTCAATTATAGCTCCCATGCTTCCATGTTACAGGTCAACCAGGAGAAGTGAAACAGCCAGAGTGAAGAACGTCATCTTGTTTGTATTTATGCGGCAGATCTATCCATTCTCATTAACCAAACATTTTAGTGATTTCCATTTCTTAGTGATTTCCTCATTTCTTAAGCCATTTTGGTCATGTTGTCTAACCTCTTGTGGATAATTATTAGTAATTTAATATGTACCAATGGTGAAGACATTTGCATGTAATTTGTTCTCAATACGACCGGTTCTCATGTCGGACTTTGAAGGTCTCTCATAATCATTCATTGGTTTTCATTATTTCGCATATTTCAAGTAACTCATTTGGTTTTCTTTTGCATACATCAAACAATTGTCTAGTTTCTCTTGTCTAGTATTGATTTTCCTCTACGGTTGTTTCGGAAATAAACCTCCTTTTTGCTGATAATCTACCTCTCAAGATAATGTTGTGCACATTGCAAATATCCATTAACATTTTCTGGATGGAACACTTTCGGACGCCGACTTCATCTTTCCAACGGGGTATCTAGGCTTTGCCGCCATGGGTTAGCATGGCATAGTTCACTTCCACGAGACCGCTGAGATTTTTCCATTGTCATGATTGTCGCGAATGTCGCGCCGGAAAGGTTGTACCGTGGAAAGGTGGTGCTAGGGGGCTACTGGCGTTTGGACGCGCTAGTCTTGGGTGCTTGCTTATTTATGAAGTGCCTAGATCACCAAATCCGTGAAATACTTGAATACAGGGGTAATTTAACATCCTGATTACGAATATGACATTCATTCTAATGGCACTAATGGAGGACGCTACTATTGTCATCGCACTGCTAAGGCTGAGCCTAGAAGATCATCGTAGTGTCCTCCATTAGCGCCACCCGCCAAGAATGAATGTCATATTCGTAATCAGGATGTTAAATTACCCCTATATACAAG